AAATATCGATTGGAGATTCAGGATATACTAAATTTTTGATCAACGTATACGCCTCCTTGCCAACGAAATGTAGGAAATATGCAGTGAGCTTCTTATCATCCATATCGGATTTTGTGAGGCGTCATATGTCGAACCGTTCCAAATAATCCTCTACGTCACGCCTCCTACCAATTTGGAACAGCAAGAACTGCATTCGCAGAAAACATCCAGCACCGTCAACCGCAGCCATGCGGTACGCATGCCAAAAAGTCCGACTCTCCATATCTTCTTCAGAGTAGCACAATGGACAATTTATGGGTTGGCACAATGGTGTGGAAAAGATTACAAAGGGTTGTATGTTGTAGATGTGGTCCGCCTTCCAGGATGGGATGCTCGTAACCCTCTCCATCTGCTCGGCTGCCAGTTTATCTTCAGATAGTTTGATTAAATGTTTGGTGACGAAGGCGCCCCTGCGATATCTCAGCGCCAGATCCCTTCTTCATCCAATCTTTTCTGTTTTCCTACTTTAAGTAGGCACAATCCTCGAGTTTCCTCCAACCCCGCCTTCTACTTGAACCCAAAATGGAAGGAATTTGCACTCTTATTTGAACGTGAATTTGGTTTTGACCGGACATCCAACTGACAGAGGCCCGGATCGGTTGAATCTTCTATTGATGATAGTCCTTCTATCCTGTGAGCCTTAAGAAGGGCGAAAGTGGTTGTGGACTGTCGAGGAGTTTTCAGCAGCCTTATGAGTAGTGTGTTATGCTTAGACAACAACTTAGTGCGATATCCCGAATAACACACCTGGTGAAAAATGGTGCTACCTCTTGCAGCACATTCAGTTGAAGCGGGCCATCGTAAATGGGAGATTCAACTGTATTCAGGTGAGTCCCCTACCAAACCCAAATTCGTGTGCAAACGAGAATATTCGTTAATTTGGGCTCAAGAAGAACATAAAGTTGACGAACTGCGCCTACCTGATGAACCCCAAGGAGGGCGAAACCGGTGGTGCGATGTCGAAGAGTTTTCAGTAACCTTATGAGCAGCGTGTTATATCTGGACAACAATCAATCAAACTTTGTGGTTGAACGGTAGTGAAGCGTCAGCATCAACACTGGTTTTGCTATCTTTAATGATGATGACGACAGTATACACAGCCGTCCGGCTTCATGTGACTTTTGTATGTGTTATTTCAAACAAATTGGTAGCAACCCGCTTAATTGTCCTCCCAAACCGGCTAGCACTTCCCTGTCTACTTCAGCGATAAACAAAACTGGATCTTATCCTCGTTGTGTCCTCGTTTTCTACTTTACAGAATCTTGATTCACTCTGCGATAAACATTCCGCAGACTTAACTGATAGAGAGTAGAAATCAAGCGTCAACCATAGCGGTGTGTAAACAGCCTATAAAACGAGTTTCCAGCGTGAATTTCGGTTGATTAGAAGCAATTCTACTTTGAGATCAGTCCTTGGTTAGGAGACCATCATCCACTCATTGGCTTTTGAAACTGAGAAGAATTGTTTATCCATGACTTTATTATCGTTGCGTTTAAATGATTTGTTTGTGTACTTATTTAAGTAACCGGTGATATTCAGCATTGAAACTACCAACCGATGATCCACTGTATCGCTTCAGAAAAATTTCCAAGCGTAAGAGAGACACCGAAGCAAGACACCTCTGAGTTACCGGATGCGACTGGAACAAAGTTTCCAACCACAGACCATGGTAGGGCATACCCAAAACCTTGGAGCTCGGATGGGAGTTGCTCCGATGAAAGTTGGGCTTACAAAGCGCATTCATCTCAGGTAAGTTAAGCCTTTACATCCCTGTGCAGAAAATTGCTGTTCAACTTCCAATGCGTGCGCAAGGCAATCTGTTGGTTCATTTAGGTTAATCAGTTAAAAATGGTTGTCCGCCTTATGTTTCCTGTGGACTGTCAGGACATAGGGGGTCGCATCTGTTTCAAAACCTTTTCCCGGGTCTACTTACGATTTGTAAGTAGTTTGTCAAAATAGTAAAATATGCACGCAGGCGGGGATATGATTGAACATACTCGCCGTCATGCACAGTTTAAGATCAGCGTTCTCGGCTTATCAAAATTTACAAACTCAGCTAGTGAAGAAAACAGCAAAGCTGGAACACACCAATACCCCTGTGTTTCTCACATTCGATTGAGGGGCTATTTTCCTTACAACTCAACACACGGTAATCCAAAGCAAGTGGATTCCTCAAGGAGATATTTTGAGGAAAGCAGTTTATTCTGTTGTAGACCATGTCTTATTGTATCACGTGGTATGGGAACATAGCAGTGGAACTGACATGGTTAGTCCAGAATATCCTGTGGGTTCACGTCTTTCTCATTCGACACCATGGCACATGTGCAACCCAAGAGTTGTGACCGGAATGTTCCTGTTGAGGACGTTTTGTGCATGAATCCTGGCTCCTTTCAGCGTTGTTCCGGGAAACGTATCCTTTGGCTACGTCGTGTATAAAACCTCAAACGGCCACGGGCACTTGTTTCTTCACAGTTTGTATGGGAGCTTAGAAAAATACAAACAGCTGGTCACTAAATATAGGTAGCCGCTCGAGGGGAGTATATCCAAGAGGCCTTTTTGGATCGATCGTGTCCGCGCGATTACATGTTGTTTTCAACGAGTCTCGCAAGTTCTTCTATTAGAATTTCTGCGGGTGTTTCTTCTTCAGCGACGATGAGAGCTTCCAAATTATTGCTCTTCTAGAAGGAATGGTAAATTAATCTGGCTAGCGTGACGAATCTTGGGAGTTCGAGATATTTTGACAGGACAAAGTGAGGGATGCTCATTCTTCAAGTGAATGGTTCTCAAACTACTGTTTCAAGTCGAAGAACTCACTTATTTTCCTTATTTGACGGTTTTATTTTCTCTCAAAACATTACGTGATAGGAGATGTCCATATATTTTTTTCTGACTTGCTGTCGTCATACAACAAGAGAGAATTTTTCAGATCTGAGTCGTGAAATACTATTATGACTGCCTACTTTCACCTCTGAAACTGTTAAGGAGCGCGTTATCTACAAGAGGATACAATTTTTTTGGCCAAACAGTGGTGTTGTGAAACAGCAGACCATCCTTGACGTGTGCCAGCGTTTGAAGATAGTATCAGGTACATAAGGTATGAAGTGAGCTCCTCATCGCATGTTTTGACGAATCAAGCATCTTGGGTCACCAAACCGACGGAGAAAAACGAGCGTAGAACGCAAGCTCTCCAATATGTTTTATGCTGTGATGTACTTATTGAATATCACTGCCTTTTCTCAATAGATCAGATACCTACCGCTGGAAAATACCAAAATGGAGGCCATTTTGGATAAGTAAGTGTTTGGGGTACATAAAATAGGCTGTACTACTGATTGATTCCTACTGTTACTGATTCTCTTTCATGGATAGTGTATTGGGTTGTTTTTTTACGACTTAACGGAGGGTGGTTTCTTGGTGAGCATCTTATAACCCCGTATGTCTAATAGGAGATCACCCAAAATTGATCTTCTTTCCAACACTAGCAAGTAGGTGATTTCTAGACTAAGTAACTGTGTTCGTTTCCTGATCATGAGCAGTTGTGTGTCCCTCATTCAGTTGATCAATGAATCATATAGTCTTCGTTTTTTACTGGTCCCTAGCACGTGAATGCTTCAGTCTCTGCTGTACCAAAATTGCATGTGAGTACCGAAATTCCATGGAAAATCGATCGGGATTGTTCTTTCTGCAACTTCTAGAGTTTGAAATTATTCCACCTAGATGGCAATTTAGTAGGAGCCTTTTGGGTCAGAAATTTTCTGAAGAAGTAATCAATGCAATATTGTTCAACGACCTTCCATGGCCCTTGCCGCATGGATACGTTGATGATACCCAAATAAAACAGTACCATAGAAGTACTAAAATCGTCAATAATTCTCTTGGTGCTTCCTGATATCTCTTCCAGTATATCTGTTACATTCTGTTAGATTGGTTTCACTGGTGGTAAGGCTCACCACACCATGCCTCTAGTGCTGATACGCGTCAGGTCGGCACCCGTTGCCTTTCATTGGTCAACGCCATATCAGCAACCAATCGGTTTGCAGCACTCCGGCAACCTTGAAACTAACCAGTGATAGTCCAGCAGATCCATTCCATGACGAACCTATCAGACAATAGATGCAAATCAGCACGTTGAGCTTAGCTGAAAGTTTTGAGCGCAACTGACAACTCACCATAAGGCATGGTGTTATCATTCCACAGTAAGAGACAAAGCCAAAAATAACTGCATAAAAATATCACGTTAGTGTACTTCTGACATCAGTCGGTGTTTTTAAAATGAAAAACACCCTCTTAGAAGCATTAATTCTCTCCATTTCAATCAAACTATAGGGTACAAAAGAAAATACACTGGGGTGTTCGCGAGGCCTGCAGTGTGATTGGACTTCTGTTCTTCACTATCGGGATCCTCTTTGTCGAAGGCGCTCGCATGCTTGCGTACACCCTTCTGCGACCCTGGCTCCACCTTATGCGATTTATCATTCATCTGGTCAGCAATCTGTTCTGTGATGTGTGTTACATTTGCTCAATTGGATGCAGAAGAACTTGTCTACCAATTACAGATGCATGTGCCACTTGGTCACACGAGGTAACCGTTCCTGTCATCAAACAGTTTCGACCGGTGAGACTCTACCAATTACGGACCAACCAGAGGACATGGAGTCGCATGCCACAGAACTTATGATGCTTCTGTCCTACTGACGATAGACAATCACGTGTTTATTGACAAAACAGTGAACATCCATTAAAATTAGCTATCCAAACCATTATTGCACACTTGCTCTGAAAGAAAGCTCTCTATTCACACAAACATCTTCCTGTTGTCCGCGAACAGTAAGCTAGATGAATAATGCCAGAATTTTGCAGCTTGCAATAGGGACCGATAGTACTCTATGGCAGGCGACTATACCCGTAAGACCCATGTTAACTGGGACCTCTGTTTTACTTCCATACATTTATCAAAAGTTGCGGACAAACGTCAGAAGCTATGTCACCGGTTCAGAATTTATGCAAGTAAACGGTAGTTCTGTCACATGTCACAAACAATCGGTAGCTGTTACATGTGAAGAGGTCCATAATTTGATATTGCGTACGGATTGTCCAATACAGGTGAACTTGACTGGTACCAGTTCAAAAATGACTGTACTAGTAAACGCATTGGGTGAACGAATTTCTTCCAGGGTAGTCATCTTTAACCTTTGAATGCCGTTTTCCTTACAGAACCTTACCTCAGAACAGAGATTTCCATTGCCTCACAAAAATTATGCGAAGCTGCACTAATGTCCTTGGCGTGGTTAAACATCTTTCCCTCGCCATAACTTTGTCAACCATTAAATGTTCAAGGAAACTGGCAACCAACAGTTCATAAGCGAATAATCAGCATTATGCCTAGCCTCTGCCACTAAAGGCTTCAAAGGAGCCAGGGACGAACGAAGAGGATCTCTGTGGAAGTTAATCAAGTCTGTTTGCCATCCGCTGGAGTCGAACCTTACTAAATGCCTAAGTGTCAGTCTAAGCGTTTGCATTCCGATCCTTGTTTTTTTTGGTAAAAGTGAAGGCATTTGTCTACGATTTCATGTTCGGACGTGTCCTTCCATGTTAGAGTGCATTGGGACAGACTCGGCACACTGCATTCCGACCTTGTTTTTTTTGGTAAAAGTGAAGGCATTTGTCTACGATTTCATGTTCGGACGTGTCCTTCCATGTTAGAGTGCATTGGGACAGACTCGGCACACCCTAGTTTATGCAGATTTTCTTAGCAGGGGATATCTATCCTGGATTTTCTACCGGACTATACCGACGTTGTTGAATAGACGATGATAACTTGGTTACCGTCGGGTGGAATCTCATTTATACCCATCGCTTTGCCGTGAATTCAGTTTTAGTCGAAACGCATCATGTCGTTTCACGGGACCACAAGAGCTGACCACAAACGTCTCTTCGTTTTTTTTCGGATTTTTTCTTGCTTTATTATGTTTATAACATCCATTGAAATTGTTTCTACATCCATATCCTTAAAAGCCCCCATCTTAGCCTACGCAGTTCGTCTGTTTGGTGTGATTTTATGTTAGAGCCAGCTGACATGCCTTGTCTGTAGGACCTGTACAAGACAGCTACAGTTTTCACAGGGGTTTCGTCCTGTAAGTGAAACTAATCTATACTGTAGTGGTCTGGCTACCCAATAAGTTAGTTTACCAGGAGTGTGTGGTAAAGAAATAAAAATAATAACGCTAGGTTGGGTATACAAAAATAAAGACATCAGATGAAACAGACTCACCAACAATTGTTCTCTTTAAAAAAGTTCGTCGTTGGCCCAGGTCAGCGAATAAACAATAATCCAATTATGGTGGTCCAGGGGTCTTCTTCTGAACAGTTCCCGCATATAATAGATTCCGAAGATGGTCTAAAATGTTTTGATACCAGAGTTAGCAAATGAGACTCGCGAATGCCCGCTGCAAACGCGAGCGAAATCAGAAGAGGGAGTCGCAACACATGACCACGTTTGTATTGCGTAAAATTGTACAAGTGAGCGTTTTTTGTAGTTTCTCGTATCTAAGCAAAAAAGCGATTATGCTATTGATAAAATACGTAATGTAATGGAAGCAAAATAAAGGTACAAAATGCCACAATACCGTGCAACCGTCCCATCCTTATTGGGAATCATCAACAGTGCGCATCTCACGAAGCTACAGAGTCTCAAACAATCACCTTCCGGTTGCAAGTTTGAACTCTTGGACGTTCAACCTCGAGCGGCTGATTATCAATGTGATTAGCTCGCATCTAGACAGGATGTAAGGCTATTCATCCTCCAATCACCGGAAGCACATCACGTGGTCACGTGTTGACTGGCTTCTCCAACAACGACATCTCAGGTGGAATCTTTTCTCATTTGGTGAATTTTCTCCTTCCCCTAAGCTACTTATGGATTGCCGGTATTGCGACAAGAATGACAAATATCTTAGAACATCATGCATGTCCAAACTGTCGACTCTATGGCAGTGTGGATACTTTCGTAATGTTTGAAGTAAAGTTTCTCAACCAGAATGTGACAGTGAATAGCTGAAAAATTACGAGCTTCCTGCTGGCATATGTGATTTGATCTGCTTGATAGAGTTGGTGGATGGAATGACAGTGGAACACATACTGTTTTGTGCTCCATCGTCTTTTGTGCTACCGTCTGTACTGCCTGCCAACACTAAGGTCACCCTAGCACCCACCGGAGCACTAAATGCCAGAAATGCCCTCAAAGGAGATGTCAGCACCGTTGAAGACCACTGTCATGCGTTGACCGTACTGACCGCTAACATTTGATCAATATGGACAAAGGGTGTTGAGTAGGATCATTTGGTGTGTTACCAGTGAGCCCGATTAGCTGTCGACTGGAGATGATTCGTGTATTGGCAAAGTCATCCCCGTTTTCGGACACCAAACCAACCTTTCAATCATCCAGAGGACAAGGCGATACACAAGGTTCGACGCAGAGAACTCAAAAGTTACTCAACCTCCAGCAACGCTATCTCCCCTTGAAAATTTGGACTACTGAAGACTACCTTAAAGCACTCAATCAACCGCCTGGCCCCAATGTTCTACTCACTGCGAGCAATTAGACACAGAACAAAAGCCTCGAAAGATCAGAGGGTCCAAAGCTAATTTTCTTACTTAATGATGCCCAATCAAAGTACAATAACGCATGCCTGAATGTTCTAACTACCTGGTGCCGATGGGCACCAGGGTCCACCGCGGTCATCTGCTCTGTCACTAGGTACCGCAGCAACACGTCCTTCCACTGTTTCATCAATAACCAGTAGATAGAGTAAAAGAAGTAACCACTTCTGTACTTTGCACAATGAAGACACTGACCTATGTGCTCGCAAGATTTTGTAGTTTCATCAAGACCTTGCTAGGATATTTTTTTGCCATAATTATCCTATCACAATGTTTTGATGGACAGAAGCAAGAGAGACTTCTCCAATGCCACATAAAAATCGAAAGGGAAAAAAAGACGAACATTGGAACAATATTGGTTTCCTGTCTAAACTTTTACGTCAGCAAACTATGGATGCTTGTGGTGAATCCTAACTAAATCAAACCGTCGGTAATGTTTTACGACCGGATTTGGAGGAGTTTAAAAAGAGGATCGGTTCATTACGTGTAGTAACGCTATTTTCCTCAGCTTAGTTCTCGGTCTAAGCCTCCAAAGCTAGCGTTCACGTCAAAACAACCACCAAAGGTGCACAAGGTCTATTAATGTCCAAAACGAAGTCAAAAACAGTTGTACAGCGCTTCGTATATATAGCGTAAGCGGTTATAACTTTCTGGAAGTTCTGACGCGTTCTGGATGCGCCATTGGCAACCGGCATTTGGCCAATACTGGGTCACGATTGGCTGTTGCGTCCAGATTTCTGACCAATCACATCTCGTCTTGATGCCGGACCGGCAAGTGTCCCGAATTCTTGGCCAATACCGTGCGGGTCAGGCTTACTGGCCGTAGCAGCGCCTAAAGACGTGCGGCAAAGCGGGATCCGTGTGGAATTCTGCCTAACATTACGGAGGTAACCATCTGTTGTTCGACCAAGAAAGTCTACAAATGACAGAAAGGTACAAAAACTGAAGCACCTTAGATTTCGGAGTGCTCGCTGTGGGACATAAGTTTTGGAACTCGGCAAATGCTGCCGCAAGGACAGCTTCATCCTAACCTTCCAGCTGGTGTGCAAACACATTGGGCGACCGATGTCTACCACACTTTTGACTGTTGGAATCGATTCATTAGCTACCTGGCGGAGCGGACCACACCGACTCAGGACACTAAATTATGTTTTGGGACAATCAGACCGCATGCCGTGGCTGAAGGTCACCGTCTGTCTAGCTGAGGGTACACTTAATAGAGCACACTAATTCGAAGTAATGGAAGAAATCATTCGACTAAGTCCGGTTCTTCTAGTTTATCTGATAGTGTGTTTTTCTTTCGTGGCATCTGTCTACTGACACACTCCTGTAATCATCAGAGGAACTTCTAGGATACGTCCCAGTGTTTTACATTCTGTTGGCTTGCATGGTGCGGGCTGCGGTAAACCTGTTCTCACAATCAGTTTCCGCAAGGTTAGGTCCTGGCTCTCTTCGCGACCGTCAGAATGGTTGTACATCCAGCATTACAGTAGCATATATAGAGAATGTTATAGCTCAATGGACTGTTGAAAATCGCCTTCCAAAAAAAATTGGAACCCCAAAGTTTACGGCGAAGAAGGTCGCTGAATCTTTGAACGGAATCCTTCTGCAAAGGTACATCGTATTAAAAAGTCCCACGAAATGGCTTCCACATTCCCCAAGCAAACATTCGTCAAGTTTTTCATTACTAGCCAAGTCATCTGACCAGTACAAGCTTGCCTAAGGTCAACGGGTACTACGGAGGTAACCATCTGTTGTTCGACCAAGAAAGTCTACAAATGACAGAAAGGTACAAAAACTGAAGCACCTTAGATTTCGGAGTGCTCGCTGTGGGACATAAGTTTTGGAACTCGGCAAATGCTGCCGCAAGGACAGCTTCATCCTAACCTTCCAGCTGGTGTGCAAACACATTGGGCGACCGATGTCTACCACACTTTTGACTGTTGGAATCGATTCATTAGCTACCTGGCGGAGCGGACCACACCGACTCAGGACACTAAATTATGTTTTGGGACAATC